CATGTGAGGCAGAAGAACCAGCTCCTAAGCTGATCCGGCCAATCAGCATTGCCTGTGGAACTTTTGTTGGTGACGTCAGGACAAGAATTGTGTGTGGAGGTTGTTATTCATGAACACCCAGTGGACAGGAGCTGAAGCAGCCATCTTGGTCACACAGAGAGAAACTTCTGGAAAAGTATACCTGACAGACAACATCAAAGGAGCTGGGGATGGATGGAGAGAGAAAGAGAGACAGAAGTGGAGGCCTAAGGCCACTATTTCAACATTTGAACCTGACCATTTATTTTTTTTTTTGGTACCAGGGATTGAACTCAGGACGTTGTGCTTGTGAGTCAGGTGGCGGAACCACTGAGCTGCATCCCTGGCCCCATGGTCATTTATTTATTAAATATCTACCCGCTCCCTAAGCTGGCTCCACAGGGTAAGAATACCATCTGCTTTTGTTCACTACTGGCTGCCCAGTGCCCCAGTGGGGCTTGTCACATAGTAGGTGCTCACATAACTGGCTCACAGCACAGGAATAATATTCAAGAGAGATCGTGTTTGGCTCTTGCTTTTGAATGCCCTGCCAGGGTATAGGGACTTCATTAAAGTGGGAGGAATCAGAGTCTGAGTCTTCAACTTTATGATACGTAATGAGTCCTTTGTCAAAAATTTTAAGGACAGTGGCTACGGATTGAAACTAGGCAGGAATAATACATCCTGGCTCTGTTCTTTTAAAAATGTGTGTGCTGTCTGAGGCGCCGTAATTTAATTTGACTCTAATATGTTTTTGAGTTCCCTGTCAGATTATAACCGGATTCATCACTCACTTGGAGGCTAAAAATAGAAGGTGATACGAGAGGTTAGCATCACTTAGCAGGGAGCACTTTCTCACAGGGACCGACATAAATCGGAGGAGGCATGTCACCCACTCCCATTCGAAGCTGCAGTTGTCCTCACGCAGAGGGGCAGCTGGAGGGCACCGCAGAAGTGACGACAGAAGCTCTGTCCCAGCCCCTGCTAATCAACCCTTCCAGAGCACGCAATGGCTCCTGATTGCTGGCTGATTTTATCTGGCTTCCAGGGGAGCAGCTGAAACCCTGGGATGGATGTGGGGAAGGAAGAAAGTCTGAGCTTTCTGGAAAAATCACTGATCTTGCATTGTTTTTAGGCTCCCTCTTGGTGGAATAAAAATGGTCTTTACATTTTTTTATCAAAGAACATTTGCAGTACGTAATTTTTATGTATCTTCTGTGGGGTTGGTACGTGTGCAGAACGCATCTGAATTCCTTTTCATCCCCCGACCCCTTCACTCCATCTCTTGGTCCTCTGTCCACTTGTTTTCCAAAAGCACTATCTGCCTACTTCCTGTTATCTGCCTTTTGTTCTGTTCTTTATAAACTGAGTTTCTTATATAGGAAACTCATGTGATATTTAAGCTTGTGAGTCGGATTTGTTTCACTTGGCATTACTGTCTCAAGGTCGCATCCATTTTCCTACAAACGATGCCTTCATCTTTTTTATGGCAGAGTGGTAAATATGGCAGTGTGGGATCACCGCATTTTCTTTAACCATCACCTGCTGACGGACCGTATAGGCTGCTTCCTGATTTGTCCTTTAACTTCTTTATGATGCCATCTTTTCTGGAGTGAAATGGAATCTCGGTGTTGTTTTTTATTTGCCTTTCTCTAATGGCCAGCAGTGTTGGACATTTCTTCGTGTATGTAGTGGCCACTTGTACTTCTCTGAAGGGTCTACTCATGTCAGTTGCCCTCTGTTCTGACTGGGTCTTTTATTTTGAGGGGCCTGATTTTTTTGAGTTGTTACACTTGATCTTAGCCATAAGGCCAAAAAGTGATTTTTAAAAAAATTCTTTATATATTCTAGATATTGGTCCCCTTGTCTGAGGAGTAGCTGAAATTTTTTTTTTCTTTTCACTCTGTTCGTTGTTTTTTTTTAATGTGCAGGATCTTTTAAATTTGATATGACCCCATTTGTTAATTCTTGACTCTATTTCTTATGCAACTGGGGTTCTGTTCAGAATGTCCTGGTCAGCTGGGCATGGTGACGCATGCCTGTAATCCCAGAACTTGGGAGGCTGAGGCAGGAGGATCGCTGTGAATTCAAGACCAGCCTGGGCTACATAGTGAGTTCCAGGTCAGTCTCAACTACATAGTGAGCCCTGTCTCAAAACAAACAAACAAACAAACAAACACAAAAAAACAAACAGAAAGTCCTGGTCTATGCCTATAACTTCAGGAGCTTCGCCTATTTTATCATCCAGTAGGTTAAATGTATCTGTTTTGACATTTAATTCTTTGATCCATTTTGATTTTCATCTAGTACATGGTGAGAGATATGGATCTAGATTCAACCTTCTGTATGTGGACAGCCAGTTTTCCCAAAACCACTTACTAAAAGGCTATCTTTCCTCCAGTGTGTTTTCGATTCCTTTGTCAAGGATCAAATCGTTAAATGTGCTTAGGGTTGTTTCTGCAGACTCTGTTCTGTTCCGCTGATCCTCGTGTCTGTTTTTTTGGCCAGTGCCATGCTGTTTTTATAGCTGTAGCTTTATAATATAACTTCAAGTGTGGGATTGTGATGTCACAGCAGTGACAGACTCCAGGCCATTGTGAGGGCCACTGTTTTAGGCAGCGGTGGGGACCCTGCTGTGAGGGATCTACTGCTGCATCTTGGTGAGACAGCTCAGTTCCATGGGTGATGTTAAAATTCAGAAAGAACTCAGGTCGTACCCTCTGCGCTCTCTGAGCTTCCTTTCCTGGCTCCCTTTTATTGTTTCCAGACCTTGTTTCCTGTCCTTCAGTCCTCCCATCCCCTACTTTGGGTGTCCTTTTGGCTCTGTCCCCCTGGCTTCTTCCTATCCCACCGTGCCCTGATTTTATTTATAAAAATACTCATCTGGACCCCTTTCTTCTGGCCTTGGGCAGTGCCTCGCTTGCTTGTCTCCTTAACAAGCTAATTCATGACAAAGTAGTAATGGCGGAAATTACTATGGGCAACGTTTCGGTGTTCCCAGACATCAATGAAACCTACTCAGACATTGTCCTGACTCCTTTAGTAGCTCCTGGCATGAGCCTTCAATCTTTTCTCACCAGGGGATTCATGGAAACCAGAGATGATTAAAAGAAATGTTTTTGTTCCCGCCCTGTGGAAACGTTCACTTCGGAATCGCCTTGCTCTGACTCTTCAGCTCCCGTGGCGTCTGGGCTTTATGGCGGGTGCTGTGCTGCAGGGCCCACTGCCTCGTGTTCAGGATTTTCTTATAATGATGAGCACGAGCCAGGCTCTGCCTGCAGTGACCAGAGATTCACTGTCATTTTTCAGCCCACTTGGGCTCTATAGACACTGGCATCCGAGACCTGAGGACGGCCGTTCCTGCAGAGAGCCGTAGACCTCAAGGCCACGATGCGCTCTTCTCTCTCTGTTCTCCTAGGGATGCGCTGGTAGAAGCAGCTTTGCATTTTCTGCATTGTTTGCTGTCCGCCCCCCTTTGAGAGAGTCTCACTGGGTGATTCAGGCTTGTCTTGATTGCACTATGTAGCCCAGGCTGGCCTCGAACTCACAGCAATCATCCTGCCTCAGCCTCCTGCATCCTGGAATTACAGATGTGTGCCACCACGCTTGACTGGTTTTTGTGGTGGTTTTGTTTTGAGATGAGGTGTCACTATGTTGCCCAGGCTGGCCTTGAACTTGTGATCCTCCTGCCTCAGCCTCACAAGTAGCTGGGATCACAGTCATACACTATTGTACTTGACTAGTAATTAAAAAAATTGTTTTGGTAAAATATACATATTTGCCATCTTAGCCTTTCTAAGGTGTAGCAGCATTTGTGCTTGCAGTGTTGTGTAACCATCACCACTACTCAATCCCAAAGTGTTCTCGTCATCCCAATTAAAACCCTGCGCCCGGTAAACAGTAACTCTCCATCCGCCCTGTTGCAACCCTGACTACTGCTATGCTATGTCTGACTGTAAACCTGCCTGGGCTAGGTGCCTCGGGTAAATGAATACGACCTGCCCGTGTCTGGCTTATTTCACTTAACATCAGGGTTCATTACAGCTGTGTCAGAATTCCCTTCCTGCTTATGATGGGGTAAGATCCCATCTTATGGATGCGCCACGTGTCATTCGTCTGTTCATCTGCAGATAAGACGCTAGGGCTGTTTCCCCTTCTGGTTACTGTAAATAATGCTACTATGAGTATTCAGTCCTGCAGGTACTGTCTGAGTCACTGCTTTCAATTTTTGGGTATATATCCAGAGAACTGCTAGGCCATATGATAATTTTCTATTTAACTTTTTTGAGGAAGCCACCAAGCTGCTTTCCGTAGCTGCTACAGTGTTTTACATTCCTACCAGCCATGCACCAGGATTACAACTCTGGTTTGTTTGGACTTTTAATAGGCTGAGAGCCATCTCTCATTGTGTAGAAGTCTTGCCGTATTGAGAGAATCTACTGCTGTATCCTTTACCCATTAATCTGTTCAACAAATATATATCAAGTACCTACAACATTGAGGGAGTGGGGCTGGGGTCCACAGCTTTGTGTGTGCTTAGCATGTGTGCTACCACTGAGCTGCACCCCAGGCCATGTTTCCGGGTGCTGTTGACCGTGGATACTTAGCCCTCGAGGCCCAGAGCTCAAAGGGCCTCTTATTTCCCATCGACATCCCTGCCCAGCCCTCTCTGCTCTTTGTCCTTTGGATGGTAACTGTGGGCAAAGAAACTCTCTAAAATACAAACCAAACAAAGAAAAACGTTGCTAAGCTTCATGTTGCCCCTCTGTGAGACAGCTCGGGAGTTTGTGTGATGATTGTTGTGTCTAAACCCAGCTCAGCATCTGGACCAAGGTGGCTGTCGATCATGACTTTCTCTAGGAAGATCTTAAATAAAATTGGCATGAGAGTTTGCAGTGTCACCCTGCTAAACTGATGCTTGCCTGTTTTAGAAGGGTTAATCATTGTTTAAACAGGATGACTATATTTTTGTAAAAGTTTAATCTTGGGTCCTTGGTCAAGAATGTCAACCTGTTATAATGTGGCCTCTCAAGAAAAATCAGGCGCAGTGTAAGTCTGTCACCAGAATCCCCATTATGGTTTCCATCTATGTCCCCCAAGAGTCTCACGTGTGTGGAAGGTGACTGGATCACGGGACGCTGTACCCGTCAGTGGATTCATCTGTTGATGAGCCCAGGAGTTGAATGTGTGGCTTGCTAGGAGGTGGGGCCTGGTCACAGACGGACCTGGAAGAGCGTCTTCTCGTCCCCAGCTCCTGCCCTGTCTCAGTGCTCCCTGGCTGCCGTGGGATGTTCAGCTGTCCTCTGCCGGCCCCTTCCGCCATGCATTCCGCCTTGGAGCCGGCCAACCAGGGACTGAACCCACAGGAAACTGTGAGTCAAATGAACCTCTCTTTTTTAAAAAATTGTGGACGCTTGTCAAGTATTTTGTCCTAGCCACGGGAAAGTGACTGATGCAGTCCCCCAAATGCGAATGTTTGCAGTCCGGTTTACTACCCGTGTTTACATTTTTTAAGAAGACTGCTAGGATAGACCAACAAGTTGGTCTCTGAACAGTGGGGATTCCAGGGATCCTGGTGAGCCAGGGGTCAACAAAGGCCCTCCTGCCAGACATAGGCTGCGCGTCTGTGTAAATAAAGGCTTGGCAGCCACGTCTGCTGATTTAGGTATTGTTCCTGGTTTTAACAGAGACTGAATCACTCACAAAGCCATGTAACATTCCTACTATGTGTCCCTCTTCCAGAAACATTGTCAACCTCAAGAGGAGGCACGAAAGGCAGTCGCCTTTACATTTCATGTGCAGCCTTCAGCCGAATGTGTTGTCTCTAGCTGGTTGCTGGCAGGGTAACTGTTCTGGAGGGCCTTGGGGTTTCTGCAGCGAAGATACCTGAGTGCCATTTGCCAACAGGCTTAGCTGGACATTGCTGGATTAGGCCAGACTAAATTGTGGTAGCAAGACCCCATGCTTTAGTGGTGTGAGGAAGGGACGAAACTGACCTCCTTGGGTGGTGGCTCTGCCCCAAGTCCTTTCTGTCGAATAGCTCTGTCCCATCTTAGGGCCTGCTGGCACCTGCAGTATCAAACCCCGGAGTCACCACATCCTGTTTCCAGCTGTCGGAAAGGAAAGGACATGATGGTACCAGCCCAGAAGTGGCACGCATCGTTTCTACTCATTCAAGGCCTGGAATGTGCTCACAGGAGCCCGGGAAGAAGGAGAAACAAACGCCATCAGTAGCGGCGTAGCCGAGGCAGAACGCTCCATGAGTGCTAAGGGTCCCCCGGCGACTCCTGGGCCCAGGTTCTCGAGCTGCGGCTCTCCAAGGGTGGCTCCCAGCCAGGGACGGTGGGGCCGGGGTGGACACCCTGCCTCACTCCTCTCCCAGCTGAGCCCATTCCTCCCTAAGGCTTCCGCTGTCACTTACTCTAACTCCCTTTCCTCTTCCTAAATCTTGATTTGCTCTTCTTATAATATGAACAATGAATTCCTGGTAGGACACCTGGCTCTTGAACCCTGGATGATGGTACCAACAAGAGGTAGTTACCATTGTTATCCCCATATTGTGGATAAGGAAACTGAAATATACAGCAGGTAAGTGACTCACCCAAGGCGCACTAACCATCGTTAGCCCTAGGCATGGTATCAGGTGGTGGCCAACCTATGGCACGCGTGCCACAGCGGGCTGTTTGTTATCATGGAAAGCTCTAAACGTTTGCCATCACTGGAGCATATCCTAGGCCTGACCAAAATTTTTTCCTCCAAGATTTGGCCATGGGGTGAGCTGGGAACATGTTGCTCTTACCAAACAGAGCTGCCACCTTGATTTGTCAAGAAATTCTTGCTTTTACATTTGCAAAAATATCCCTTCCTATTGTTATCTTTTAACTTTATCCTAGCAGCATTGGTTTTTTCTTTACTTCTGGTGGCTTAAAGTTTTATATTTTTATACAGTAAAACCTGATGATCTCTTCCATATTGAGTTCCCTCCCTTTCAGGCTAAAAGAAAAAAAAAAAAAGGATCATCCTCCTTTGAGAATGATGATAAAATACTCAATTCGATTTATTTTCCTCCACTCTTTCAATGTTTGGGTTTTGAATATTATTAAGACTTGTACAACTCTAATTGTTTATGTCTGTGGCTGTGGGAAAAATGAATTTCCATTGTATTTGTCTTTGAATCTGCCAGAGAAAGAATTTATTTCACAGACTTAATAGAGGAAGCCAATACTGTGACTGGCCATGAAGAAACTCTGTTCTGTGTTTATGGTGGCAGGAGGCTTGAAGTCAGGCTAGTGGGGCTGCAGGTAGCAGGGTTGGGAGGCAGCACACAGGGAGGCAGGAGCTGAGCTCACAGCTGTGGCTGGTGCAGTCCATGTGCTTTTATCTGAGGATGCACCCATCCCCCAGGGGGTGGTAAGTTTTTCCTGCTGAACTTCACAACATCCTCCTCCTCCAGAAAATGTCTTCAGCCAGCCAGAAATTACCCTACTCCCCCTTGTACCAGCAGTCAGTGACCGGTTACGATTCTGAGCTGTGACTTCTGCTGTGGGATGGGGCTGGCACTTGTCTTCAGTGAGAGAGCCCACCCTAGCCAAGTCTCTTCTCCTGCCCTCTCTTCCCCGCCCCCCCATGTGTTCCTCCAGTAAATCTCAGGTGTTCTGTCCCTGCCTTGGGCTTGGTTTCTAAGAGTAAATCTAATCTCCTACAACCAACATTTGTAGCTCTTATAACAAATACATTTTATAATCTTTGTAGATGTGATAAATTCAAGGTTAAAGATTGCATTTCGGAGAGTTTAAAACAGTGGGATGGATTGTGAATTATTTTGGAGAAGTTTCTTTTTAAACTTTAAATGTTAAAATTTAGGATTGTAGGGGCCCGGGGATTTAGCTCAGTGGTCCTGCTGCCTGCCTTGCACACACAAGGAACGGAGTTTGATTCCCAGTACAAAAAAATAAAAAATAAATAAAAATTAGGATTATAAGATGTAATAACACATTTAAACTTGAGACCTTTGACTGACCCATCTGGATAATATTTATTATTCTTTCTTTTTCTTTTTGAAACAGAGTTTTGCTTTGTAGCCCAGGCTGGCCTTGACCTTACTATGTAGTGCAGGCTGGCTTTGAACTCACAGCGACCCTCCTGCCTCAGACTCCTGAGTGCTGGGATGACAGGTGTGCACCCCCATGCCTGTCTAGTTCTTGTTTTTCTGAGGTTTCTGGGATTGTAAATACAACTCCATGATTTTGAATTTTCCTCATATCTTTGTCTCTCCCTAGCCTTCCTAGTAACATACCTGCTAGCAGGTCTCTTTTAGTTTCAGTCAAAGCTGAATCAAAATAGTTCCCCAGTGACACGACATGGACGTATTATATTCTTCAAACTACCCTCAGCACCAGCTATGGGATTATGTCTCCCTTCTTTCATGGTCATTATTTTCCAAAGACCACACTACATGGACACTGCCACCTCATTTTCCTTCCCAAGTCCGGCCACAGGAGTTTGGTCACTCTCTCCTTGTGTGTCCCGGTACTGTGACTTCCTTAAGTTGGGGGCCAGGTGGCGCGCTCAGCATCCCCCCAAGAGCGTCCCGGCCCCACAGAGCAATGTGGCATCCGGCGGGCCTTGCACTTGTGTGGGCCACACCCCTGGCGTTCGTCACTGATCTGCCGAGCTGTGACCCTTTCCTCAGGCCCCCCCGAAGTCTGTTGCGCTCCGCCGGCTTACCAAGAGCGAACCCAGTGTGCGGTGTGTTCGTGTGTTTGGAAGATGAACTCTGCCCCTGCTGAGTCTCGCTGTGAGCTCCTCTCTCCTTTCAAACACAACAGCTGGGAGGTGGCTCAGGACTGCTGTATTTGCTTTCTTGATTTAGTTTCTCTTCCCAAGCGATCGATCGAGGGGGCTGTTTGGAATCCTCAAGCAGCACCCTGGGGAGCACAGAGGGTGCATGTGGGGAGGGGAGAGGTAGGGACTGAAGGGTTGGTTGAAGAAGAGGAAGGAGTGTTGGCATCGCTGTTTGGTCTGTGGAGTTTGGCTGGGGAGCTCGGACTGGGAGGGTACGGCACAGAATCACCAGGCAGACTTGGGAGGTTTTTGGAAGCTTCCGCTTTATTTAGGAAATGCAGAGGCTTATATAGTGTACATGTGGACATAGGTTATGCAGTAGTGGAGAACAATGGGTGATTTTTTTTTTTTTTTTTTTTTTTTTGAGACAGGGTCTCACTATGTAGTTGAGACTGACCTGGAACTCACTATGTAGCCCAGGCTGGTCTTGAACTCACAGTGACCCTCCTGCTTCAGCCTCCCAAGTGCTGGGATTACAGGCGTGTGCCACCACGCCTGGCATTGGCTGATATCTTATTGACTAGACATATTGTGTGGTGATTCTTCTTGGGCTAGGGGAAGGAGTCACAGACTGGGGGCAGAGGTACAGCCTGTTAGACCCCTCTATGCACTTAGGCGAGCTAGCTCAGCCTCGGAGAGGTCTTCGAGTTTGTTCAGGAGACAGGAGTGCGGCGCACCTGGCCCAGCCAGGCTTGAACTTCTCCCTTAAAGGAGAGCAGGAAGAAAGCTGCTGGCATGGTTGGGCTCTGAATGGATCCTGCATTTTCTGATTACTGTTACATTTCTCCCTGTCCAGGCTTCTCCCTCTGAAGAGAAGTGCTCATCCTCCAGCCAAAAAAAAGTATAGAAAAAGCATCAACTTGGGGTATGGAGTTAGTTCGTATGGCTGTGCATCCCACTACTTCCTACCTATTAGTCCTGGCGAGGTGCTGTTGTATTTGGTGGATAGAGTGGTGCATCGTTTGGTCTCTGCCTTAGGTGGGCCCAGGTAGGTAGCTTGTTCCCCACAGCAGTTAGCTCAGAAGAAGTTCCTCAACTTGTACCTCTGAGCTTCCCTAATTACTTGGCTACCTTGGTTTATGATGTCAAAGACCAATGTTTTAGAGACAAAAGTAGGATATCTGGCTGCCTTATCCCAACCACAAGTGACTACCAAAAATCACCTGTCTCGACACCTGGCTTACAGAGTGGGTGGAAGTGCTCTAGGCACTGTTATTATTGCTATCTTCATGTTATAAATGTGTAAACTGAGGCACAGGAAAGTTAAGTAACTTGGCCAAGATCACACAACTAAAATGTGTAGTAAATGGTAAAAAAAAAAAAAAAAAATTAAGACTCTTATCTTTTTCTTATATTCAAGGTTAAGTTATTTAGGTTGCTTTGCACCTAGATGATAGGCTTAGAATGAAAAAATAATATATTTTGCTTTATCATTTTGTAATATTTTTTCCAAAAATGATGATTGCAGAATAAGACTTTTATACATAAATTTTGCAACCTGATCAAAACAAGCATCGTTTTTTGCAAAATTACTCAAGAGTTTCATCACTTGTCCCAAAAGCCTCTTCACGCCTTTGTTGTTCAAATACATTTCTTTTTGAAGTGCCTCTGTGATCCGTTTAATCGTATTTACACCATAGACTCACACAATTAGCAAGAGGCCTCCCCGACAGGCTGAGCCTTATGCACACACCGGCTAGCATGAAGAGGAGAGGTGTTTGTTGGCGCAGTGGATGATATCAGGGATACTCTCATTTTCAGCTGACCTCCGCTTGCCTATGCAGCTTGGCAACAGCAGGGCTTTGGATAACGAAGGCTAAAGCTACTGAGGCCTCTGGCTTTCCACAGACATTGACCATCCTGCCTTCCTCAGACAACAGCCCCAGCCTCACTGATCTGATGAGGGAATGTGGAGGCTCCGAGACAGCAGCAGCAATCCCGCCTCCTGGGACGCCTGTGTCTGTGTGATTCTCTCCCCTGGCTGGTGCGGGGTGGACCTGTGATCTGCTTGTAGCTAACAGGTGATGGGACGTCTGTGGCTGCGTGCACATCAGTGTGCTGCAGAGGATTGCGATGTCCCTCGCGCTAACAGATGCTGCTTGCCGGCTCCCACAAAGCCATCGCATGTCAAGCATTGCCTCCGAAAGGTCCATGTGGCAGGGACCGGGTGCCATCTCCAACCAAAAGCCTGCAAGAAATGAGGCCCTCGGTCCACCAGCCGCAGGGGGCTGAGTTCTGCCAACAGTCTGTGAGCTGAGAGGCGGATCCTTCCCCGGACAAACCTGGAGAGGACACTGCAGCGCTGACCATGGCCCAGATGCGGCCCTGGGCCTGGACTGCCAGCCCACACGACTGTGGGACGGTGAACACGTGTCACTCTTAGCTGCAGAATTTGTAGTAACTTGTTAGCTCACAGTAGGTAACTAGTACAGTCATTACATTGTATGTACATCTGCACTGGCTCTGGGTAGACCACAGTGAACAAGAGAGAGGAGACCCTACAGAGTCAACATCAGTGGTCATGTAGGCTTGCGAGAGGGTCCCCTTGTGATGAGCCCCACGATCACGTGCTCCCCGTAAACTCCCACACGGCTACCAGAGAGCCACAGGTGGCGTTTGGGACCTCCAGGGATTAGCATTAGCTGGGACACCACTGTTGTCGTCATCATCATCAGAGCATCCCCTAAAGTTCTGGAAGTTCCCTTCCCAGGGCCTACGTTGCTGGTAAATGGCCCCACAGGCCTTTGCTGAAGGGTAGGAGGAAATACCAGCAAATACCTGAGGCTTATTATGGGCTGTTCTCCAGGGCATCTGATCTCCCCTTTTTTTTCAAGGGGCTCTGAGATCAGAAAGCGACTCAGGTCTGGGAATTGGATGACCGCTGGGCTGTCCATCACGGTGAGTAGTCAGTCCTCAGTTCCCGGGACTCTCCTAAGAGTGTGTGCTTCTCTGGAGGAGGGCAGGTAGATAAGACATAAATTCTGTCTAATGTTTCTGTCTCCTTAAAGCTTTGAATTCCTTTCTCTGCAATACCCCAAGGAAGTATCTGGTGTCTGAGCTTCACAAGTACAGGCCAACATTGAGAATCAGCCAAATAGGAAGTTTAAACCTCTTTTATTCTAGCACTGAGTCC